CTAGCTTGACTCACCCTTCCTCAGCCCAAATCCCAAAGCCTTCAGAATCTTGCAGTCAGGGATGGGTTCACAGTCCAAATCTCCAACTTCCTGTAGTCTCTATAGGAAGAACTAAGACCAAACAGAACTAAGGTCTTGTTTCTTCTGTGACAAATTTCTCCCTGATCCTCGATCCTAATCTTTATAAGGTATTCTTAGAAATACTGTAATCAACGTTTCACCGTAATATTCCTCGTCATTCTTTTATTTGCCTCTCTAATGATTCATTTCTCCATTTACCTTTCCATCCTGCTCGGAGGAGCCTGTGGTTCTGGATTAATCTAGGAGTCTTTGTGGGGGAACTGCAGGCCATGAGATTGGTCTTAATTGTTCAGAGCCACCCATTTGCCACTGGGTCTTTTTTTTTTTTTTAAATATTTATTTGGCTGGGCTAGGTCTTAGCTGTGGAACGTGGGATCTTTAGTTGCGGCATGCAGACTCTTAGTGGCAGCATGCATGCGGGATCTAGTTTCCTGACCAGGGATCAAACCTGGGTCCCCTGCATTGGGAGCATGGAGTCTTAGCCACTGGACCACTAGGAAAGTCCCTGCCATTGGGTCTTGGGTGAGGCACTGCAAGGGGATAAAGTAAACGTGGAGTGTTTTTACATTAAAAAAAAAAATCTCTTTCAGGTTCTGTGTCACTCTTTCTTCCCTCATGCTCTTGACCCAGAGGGTCACATCCCTGTCTCTGGACATTCGTGAGGGGAAAGTGGCAGCAGCTGCAGCAGCAGGAGGCATCAGGAACAGGAGCTCTTTGTCTGAGCGTCTGTGGAAGGCTCTGCCCTATTTCAGCTACTTGCTCTTTTTCCCTGCTCTCCTAGGAGGCCCCCTGTGTTCCTTCCAGAGATTTCAGGCTCGTGTTCAGGGGCCCAGCAGTTTATATCCCAGGCACTCTTTCTGGGCTCTGACCCGGAGGGGTCTGCAGATTCTGGGACTAGAGTGTCTGAAGGTCGTGGTGAGGCGGGCGGTGAGTGCAGGGGCAGGACTGACGGACTGCCGGCAACTGCAGTGCGTCTATGTCACGTGGTCCACTGCCGGGCTCTTCAAACTCACCTACTACTCCCACTGGCTCCTGGATGACTCCCTCCTCTACGCAGCGGGCTTTGGACCTGAGTTTGGTCAGAGCCCCGGTGAGGAGGGATACATCTCTGATGCGGACATCTGGACGCTGGAAACAACCCACAGGATAGCCCTGTTCACCAGAAAGTGGAACCAGAGCACAGCTCGGTGGCTCCGACGCCTCGTTTTCCAGCAGGGCAGGACCTGGCCCTTGTTGCAGACGTTCGTCTTCTCGGCTTGGTGGCACGGACTCCACCCGGGACAGGTGTTTGGTTTCCTCTGCTGGGCTGTGATGGTGGAAGCCGACTACCTGATTCACACCTTTGCCAATGTGTTCGTCAGATCCTGGCCGATGCGGGTGCTCTACAGAACTCTCACCTGGGCCCACACCCAGCTCATCATTGCCTACATAATGCTGGCCGTGGAGGTCCGGAGCCTCTCCTCTCTCTGGCTGCTGTGGAATTCTTACAGCAGCGTCTTTCCCACGGTGTATTGTATTTTGCTTTTTTTTTTAGCGAAGAGAAAGCATAAATTTAACTGACATCTTTCCCCAACTTTCATCTCATACACCCATGAAACAGACCTTAGAAAGTACCAGATGGCGCCTTGAAGATGCAGGTGTTTGCACTTTTCCGTGATAAAAGTATTTTTTTTTTAAGTATTGGATGTATGTACCTGAAGTATTGTTGACTTACAATGTTGTATTAGTTTCAGGTGTACAGCAAAGTGATTCAGTTATACATATATATATTCTTTTTCAGATTCTTTTCCCATATAGGTTATTACAAAATATTGAGTAGACTTCCCAGTGCTAGGCAGTAGGTCCTTGTTGTTTATTTTACATGTGTATTTTACATGTTGTGTATTTTACATGTGTGTATAAATTACTCCCAAATTCCTATTCACCTTCCTTTTCAATTACTTTGTAGTCTTGGTGTCTGGTTCCAAAAGTCTGTGGAATGAATAAATGCTGATGGTGGGCCATGTAACGTTTCAGGTGGGAATGCAAAACATCACATGAGATGTAGAGTATTCGGTATACTTTTCCCTTTCTTCCCATCCATGCAGATAGCAGGTTCTAGGTTCACTGTCTCAGGGACAGTATGCCACAGGGAGAGAACACATTGTGAAGAAAGGTTTATCAGTAATACGATTATTCTACGTGTCTTTGAATCAAATCTATTGTTATAGGAAGAAGAGCCTTGAGGAAAAATAAAGTAGTGTTGTCTCCAAGGTTCGGTCCTGGGGAATCGTAATTGGGTTTGGGTGCAAAAAAGGTAAAATGTTCTGTGACTTGACTCCATCAGCCAGATTTTGTACAGCAACTCGGTGTGACCTTCTGGGCCAGTGGATAGCTCCAGTACTCAAAACTGTAAGCATGGAGCATCTTTTTTTCTGTCAACTGTTTCCTTGGTGGTAAATTCTGTGAACTTGTTTTCTTCCATTGGGCTCTCCTGAACTGTTTGGTTATTCCTGCCTGGGAGCTCCTCCCCTTTGCTACTGAGATCCCCTGGGAAGACCACCTGCTGCCCCTGCTTGTGCAGCCCGCCTAAAGGGAGAGGCAGTGCTTTCACTGCCAAAAAAGATGTGCCACTGAGCAGGGTACCTTGATGGCTGGTCTTCTGAACTTGGGTATTCTCATTCTTGCTACTGGAGGATACGGGTTTTCCCCACCCTAGAGGGCGTGAGATGGGGATGTGTGTGTATGTGATGCAGGTGGACCTGCTGGCTTGGCTGTTCCCACTACAGCGCCCCATGTAATCCCCCTGTGAGTTGCCCAAGCCCGTCCTGGCCCCAGGTTCCACCACTTGCCATGGTACGGGGCCTCCCCGGCACGGCTCCCACCTTTTAGGGTAGTGTTCGCTCATGCACCTGCCACCGGTGTTTCAGGCTGCAGCTTCTCTCAATTTGATCCCTGATGTTTTCATTTTCTCAAGGATTTCTTAGTTTCAGATCCACCATGACTTCCCCTTCTTGTTTTAAGTTTGGCAATATATTGATATTTCTCTGTTCTAGAAAAAAATGTGTACCACATCTCTGTTCTGAGGCAGGAGTAGGGGGCGGGAGGACCATGTGTCCTTAGTGCATTGGAAGCACATGTCACAGCACCAGGCAGTGTCTATTAGATAGTCAACAGACCCTCTTGATTACCTTGAAGTATTCAACAGACAGGGAACAAGGTGGTTACAGCATTTCCAAGAGATACTATGAGGCTGACAGTGACTCGTGTCTGTAATATATTCTCTAGAGAGACTGGATTGTTAAAATGTATTTTTAAAAAGAGTTTGTCTTCTTGTGTGAGAAGAGGGAACTGCTTAGCAGTACAGAGAACTGGCAAGAGAAACAGTAATAATGGCTAACGCTGAACAAGCACCATCACTGTGAGCTCTCTGTACGTCACACTTGAACCCCACCACCACCCTGAGGTAGGTACTACTATCCTCCTCAATTTACAGATGTGGAAATGGGACCCAGAGAGGAGAAAGGACTCGCTTGTGTAAGTGTAAGGGAGAGCCTGGAGACCAGGCAGTGTGACTCCAGAGCCCACAGTGTAACTGCGAGGACGAGATGGTGTGCTACCACGTCGCCCCTCAAGCAGTTTATAAAGCAGATACAGGGCAACGTGTCAGCAGTATTCTCGTCTGGTAAAGATTTTAAACGTGGCGAATGATGATATTTCTAGGTAACAAATACATATGACGAACCAGTAGTTTGGAAGTGGTGTCCACCTCAGTTGTCTTTTTCCAACGCTCCCTCATTACATCATCTTCTCCCCACGCCCGACAGGGACAACTGAAAACTTGCTCGTCACGCTTGACTTCTCCCTTTCTCCCACACAATTCATTAGCGAATCTGCTTGATCAGTTCCTTTTTTTAAAATTTTTAATTAATTTGTTGGCTGAGTTGGGTCTTCGTTGCTGCGCGCGGGCTTTCTCCAGTTGCAGCGGGGGCTACTCTTCGCTGCAGTGCGCGGGCCTCCCATCGCAGTGGCTTCTCCCGTTGCGGAGCACGGGCTCCAGGCATGTGGGCTTCAGCAGTTGTGGCTCGTGGGTTCTAGAGCGCAGGCTCAGTAGTTGCGGTGCACAGGCCTAATTGCTCCACGGCATGTGGGATCTTCCCGGACCAGGGGTCGAACCCATGTCCCCTGCATTTGGCAGGCAGAATCCCAACCACTGCGCCACCAGGGAAGCCCTGATCAGTTCCTTTGAAATATACCCTAAGTCTCACCACCTCTCTCATCTCCATTGTATCTGGGACCCAGAGATGAGGGTGTCAGAATCAAGAAGCTCCCACGACCACTGCTGCTGCACTCACCACCTCCCGAGCCCCAGGGAGCTGAAGAACTGCCACCAGGATGTTGCTCTGGACACGCCCTCATGTCCACGACCCTGCCTGCCAGCAGAAGACCGGCCAGAGCAGAAGGGGAAACTCCCTCCACCTCACTTTTGCTTCCCAAATCGTTTCCTCCTGTGAACCCACAAACTTCTCCTTTGGCATGTATAGGAATCAGCTTCCTTTGGTCCGTTCTTGTGTCTCGTCTTAGCTCACTAGACTGACAGCTCAGAGAGGGACCATGTGTCCCCATCTTTTTCTGTTCCCCAACAGTACCTAGAATCGGTCCTGTAGTGTATAACTGCCGCTGGGAACAAAGGACTTTTCTAGTATGGAGTATGGCTCAAACCCAGCTTTGCTTTTCTTTTGGCTGTGCCATGTGGCTGTGGGGTCTTAGCTCCCCGACCAGGGACTGAACTTGAACCTGGGCCCTCAGCAGTGAAACCACTGGACCGCCAGGGAATTGCCAAACCCAGCTTTTCTTAATCCTTAGGAGACTAACACCCTCTTCTTCACTACTATACTCATAACTAGGTTTTAGAGCTGATTCTCACCTGTTTTGGAGCATGACGAAAATAAATAAAAATCCATCCATCTTAGTCCTATCCTAAGAAATTGTTCAATTGTGAACACTTTTAGAAACAATTTTCAAGTGTTCTATGTTAAGTATACCTAGCTTTCAGGAAAACATCTCTCCTATTTTGGAGAGGTTCACAAATCTACACAAGTTCACTGACACTTATTTCACACTATATTTACATAATATTAAACAATAACTGATCTGAGAAGAGAAAAAGACATTTCTGATATGAAATGCCAAACTATAAATCAGGATAACTAAATTATAAAGTAGTAATGCTCTTAATGCTCTTATTATAACACATGGAAATACTCATGTTTGTTCTATAATATTTTATTCTATTTGATGGTTCCTATGGTTGTAAATTGCAACAAAGTTTCTCTTTCATAGTATTAGCCGTTCTACTGGCTCCTGAAATAAAAGATTCCTGACTCCCCCTTTTAGTGCTGCCTCTAAATACACAAAAGAAAACAGAACTATAGTTGAAAAAGGAATGTTTTATGGTCTTAATTTCTCAGCTGTGGAAACATTTTTTGACTCTCTCTGTTTTATTCCTTCCAGCTGGAATTTACAAGATTAAGAGTTAATATTTGAATTGCTGTGACTACAGCATATAGTCCTACAGTCCTAAACCCAGGGATGAATTCAAATTATCTTCAAGAGATTGGAAGCAAAATATACAGTACGAAGTTTCCTATAAAAATAAACAGCAAAACTGTCTGTATCTCTAGACTTTCTGCAACTGAAAACAGACGGTGAAGAGAGATGTAAGATCTCAGAAGTCAGACAAAGGTCTGTGAGGAACTTAAGCTCGGAATAACTCCTAGATGAAAGCGTGGAAAACTGAACTCTAACGCTTCTGCTCAGCACTGTGCCATCTCCCTATCTGGCGCTCCTCCCACCCCCCTTACCCCCCTTACCTGTATACAGTTAACAGTGACAGTGTTCTAAAGAGCCATTTCCGTCACAAAGCATTTCATTTGTGTAAGAGGTGGGAGACACCCTACTTAACTCCAGTGATGTTGTATTGTGTACAGAAATGTTATATACTTGATTCAGTCAGCTTGGTCACCTCATTTTTTTTCCCCTGACCACACTCCATTCTTACTAACATATTACTGACTAGAAAATTAGAAATAAAAGAAGTTAAGGAGTGTTAGAACACTCAGTTGTAAGAAAAGCTGGCAAAGACACAATTCCAGAAAAATACAGGACGGGCCATTTAAAATAGGGGAAAATAGCACAGGGAATTCTGCTCAATATTATATAACAACCTAACTGGGAAAAGAACTTGAAAAAGAATAGATACATGTATATGTATAACTAAAAGCACTTTGCTGTACACCTAAAACACAACATTGTTAATCAAGTATAATCCAATATAAAATAAAAAGTTTAGGGCTTCCCTGGTGGCGCAGTGGTTGAGTCCGCCTGCCGATGCAGGGGACACGGGTTCGTGCTCTGGTCCGGGAGGATCCCACATGCCGCGGAGCGGCTGGGCGCGTGAGCCATGGCCGCTGAGCCTGCGCGTCCAGAGCCTGTGCTCCGCAACAGGAGAGGCCACAGCAGTGAGAGGCCCGCATACCGCCAAAATAAATAAATAAAATAAAATAAAATAAAAAGTTTAAAAAAAAAGCTGCAAGGATATACTGTACAAACAGGGAGTACAGCCGATATTTTATAAT